AAAGTAGGACAAAATATAATTACTGTTTAAATTATTCAGAAGTTTCAGCAAAGCTAACCTTTGCAACACACTAAATGAGAGCAGGTTATCAGGTTTTCTCTTTTTAAAAAGATTCTATGTACAATATTATGCTATTAAATGAAAAACAAAGTATGTGATGATTCCAATGTGAACACTCTCCCTTCATCTACACACTGCACGAGACAAGGCTGTGTGTGCACAAAAATGTTTGCGGTACCTGGACAGTAGTTTTCTTCTAAATTTTTTTCTGTTTCTTTCAAATTTTCTGCAAAGCATGACCATTATTTTTAGAAAAAGTCTACAAATGTTATTTTTTTAAATGCATAGACGAGAAACTGTCTAAAAAAGACTGGCTAGAGACCAGTGGAAAACTGATGGCTCCCAGGAGATGAATCAGCGGACCCATAAGTGTTTCCTTGGGTCATCACAAAAGGAGGCTGTATGGGACTTATAAAAGTGTAATTGTTACTTTCAAGCTCACTGAGCTTGTTAAGGTTACTAAGCTTAAGAAATTCCAAAATAAACACATTCTCCTTGGGCCTCCAGTACTGTCTTCAGTGAGAGTCTGTTAGCGTGAAGTTCAGAAACATTAAGAGCATCCCTCACCAAAATGCTTACTTGGGGGCCCAGAATATAACCTGAGACCACCGTAAAAACAGGGTTAAGGCTACCAAGATAAATACTCAGCTTCAGCAGCTCTACTTCCTGGCCATTCCTCAGCAACAGGACCCTTGAATAGTAAAGATGTGGTTCCATCCTCACATCTGCAAACAAGTCTGTGAGTGGCTCTCCTTTCACCTCTGTGAGCCTCAGCAGCACCAAGTTTCCAGTGAACTTTCTCTCCACTGAGCTGCAGGTCCAAGGAGGTGACTAGTGCTAGCATCTATCAGAGGAGCAGCCATCAGACCGTATCCCCAGCCAGCAAGCTAACCAGCGAGACCCGCCCACTACACCCTTCCCCAGGGCAGGAGTACACTAAAGGAGCAGCCTGGAACACTGCACCTACACTGTTAGGGAGGGAAACACAAACTGCCCAGCAGAAGATCACTGGAGCCTGGGAGTAACAAGCACCAGGGAGACCTCTAGGTTAGCTCTCAGCATTCACTGTGGACAACTAAGAACTCTGTCAATGCCTTCAAGGGTCATGGAGAGAGCAGACCCAGGAGAGAGCACTCCACACTGGAAACATAGCCCCTGCACTGCGCACCACTGCTCCATGCCAAGGGAGCAAGAGCAGAAAGCGCAGCAAAAACAGCCTACACGGGAGCACCCTCCCTATATTGCCGCCTACTCTCCCAACCTCACTTCACTCTCCGACATTATGGGAATCTGTCCTCGTGTAAAAACAGCCAGCTTTATAATGAAATCACTGAGAAAATGGGATCCACTGTGCAGCCAATGTTGCTGAAACATAATCTTCAGGAAAGTCAGGGGTCCTCAGAAGAGTTTTACAAAAACAATGCAAAGGATTGGAGATACAGTATCTGTGTTCGGTTACTTTATTTCCAAAAAGTCGATGTTTCCTAATATTTCTTGACTACCTTGACCAATGCCAATAAAATGCAGGGACCCAGCTTCTACCTCTAAGGAAAACTTTCCATTTTTATAGCTAACATGACAAAATCCACTTTGCAGCCAAACTTCCTTAACCCAGCAGTTTAGATACTATTTCAAATACTATTAAATTTAATGGCAGGCCTAAATTCAGACTTTTCATTTCACTTTTGCACCTACTGGAAATTATTTCACTCAAAATAATTATGTCTTCAGATGATTTTCTATTTCCACTTAAAGTGGAAACAAATTAGAACACTTCAAATTCTATTTGCACTTCCCAAATACAGAAGTGACTCATTTATCTGGCATCATCAGAAAATGAAGTTCTCCACATTGGGCATTTTGTCCTGTCCCCAGGTACATCCCCAGGGCCAAGAGCAGTGTCTGGTACACATCACACATTCATGAACACTCTGAACATGTGCATAAATAAAAGGAAAGTTCTTTTATTTTTTAACCAACTGATGAAAATTCTCCCACAATGAGTTACACCCACCCCTTTTTTAGAGGGGGTAGAGGCTGAGACAGGGTCTTGCTCTGAGTTCAGGCTGGCCTTGAACTCTTGGCAATCCTCCTGCCTAAGCCTCCCAAGTGATAGGATTACAAGTATGCACCACCATGCTCGGCTTCTAGTCATCCCTTCTTTAAAAGGAGAAAGGTGTTGAACAGAAATTAAGGTTTTCTTACTGCTTTGGGGATCGACAGAAACAGTGATGGTTCTACTCTCCTCCTGAGCATGGCAGGTGCCACGCTCCCAGAAACCATTAAAATGCACAAGACCTTGGCTGCCATGTTTAAATGCCCTCCACACTATATTCTCACAGCTTGCCCTTCTTTGAGATGAGCTGTCATTTCTGCTTACCGCTGCTGTCCCTATACATACAAATGTCTGGCAAGGGTCTGAGTGAATTCTCCCTCTGAAGCAAAATAAAATGTATGGACTTGGCTACAATTCAAAAGTCTTTTCCACTTATTTCTGACCTGTGCTTAGAGTCTATGCTTTTAACAGACTTCTTGTGTGCATGTGCATGCATACAAATACACACACACACACACACACATACACACACACACCCTCTATGCCATTCTACATAAAATCTGAGATAGTTCTACTAGTTTTAAATGAGTATCTTAAGGATTTTTATTTAAGTACTGAGTTTCAAATACTAAACATACTAAACACAAGGAATGGCTCAACAACTAGCTCTGATATGAAACCCAGGGCATATTTTTTTTAATCCATTTGGGATCCATCAGCCACAACAGAGCTGGATTTCATCTTGTCTGCTCGGGCCACAATTTAAAGTCACTGTTCCAAAGTTCATGGCAGCAAAAATCAAACACACTGGCAGCCACGGTGTGCCGTGCATGCCCAGAAAGGCCATCTCCCTGAACCCAAGAGTGGAAAGGATAATTTAAGTACAGCATTTAGTTTATACAATACAACTGGAGTTCCTTCCCCACAACAAACTTTGAATAATGTTTATAATTTAGCAATCAACTGAAATGATGAAAGAATTACCACAAATGAAATAAAATATTTATGTATTTCAAACCAGTAAAACTGTATCTTCAAAAGCTAAGAAAAACCTTGTTCTGAATCAGGGATGGATACAAATAAAATGGGGAATTTTGTTTATTTGGGCCGCTGAGTTGCTTTTCTTCTTAAAGATTTAATGAACTTTCATTTGAAATAAGCATAGTTTACTAAATTAAAGGATCTGATTAAGTATTCCTTAAAAGTAACTAGCTGGGTAAACAATGGAGCAAGTTATCCAGGAGTCAAGAGGAGAAAAATTACTTCAGATTGTTTTATGAATATTCTTCCAAAATTACCAACCCTTCAACAAAAATAGTTCAACGGAAGATTTCAGTTCCTGGTACTGCACTGAACAAAGAGAACCACATGTTTTTAATGGTTGCTCATAAATGACCCAAATAAATCTCCAAAAGAACAGCCGTGGTTCTTTCTGTATTTTTCCCTTCAAAACTCACAAGGCCAATTCAACACAGAAATAAAAATTACTGTACTTTATGGCACCACTCACTTTGTGACACATTTATTTGCTGTCGTGAAAGTTAGTGCTTCAACAAAGTAAATGAGATTTAGAGAAAAATTTTCTTATTTGAAACAGCACAAAATATCCTTCCCATTTGTGGCAAAAAAAAAAAGTTTACTCACCTCGAAGGAGATTTTCAAACTAAGTGAGAGACCTAAGTATTTACACATAAATGTCAGAAGAAAGTTTTCCAAATAGCTTTCCAATCAATTAGGATGCTGACCTTAGATCAGAACTACATTGCTAACTAGCATTTATAAGAAATGCAGCCTGCACAACACAAAGTATAACTTAAAATTTAACCACTCATTCTCTTCCCCCAGCTTTAACTCTGAATTAAACACAGAGCAACAGCACACCCTGCTGGAAATTACTAACAAAACTAGCACAAGCAACAGCCCTGAATTTAAGATTCCACCAAGATGAGAATCATTTCAGAAGCACTGATCTCCCAGTAACTGAAAACTGAGGTTCACAGGTATTAACTACCAGGTGCCTATACACGCAATCTTTAAGATTAAGACTTAGAAAAACTCAAGTTAAAAGATACTGCTTTTTCCTGCTTGTTTCTCCTGCAGCACACAGCCCCCACCACCCCAAGTGATTTACTATATCTGGATTCAACCTAAATACAAATATTTTCAAATCTGCTTTCTCCAAAGAAAAACTGGTTAAGAACACAAAAGAGGGAATTGAAGGCACTTTCTACATACAACTGTTGAAGTAACCCTTCTCCCCATCCTATCCTGGCCTCAGAAATATCCCTAAAGACCACCATTACCAATCCACAAGGCAGCCTGGTGGTCTGTGAACCGCAATTTACATGCCACTGGCAAAATGCCTACACAGATTCTGGCATTCAAAGCATGCAGACTATATTAAGAAACCGTTTGCCATGAAACTGCATCTACAATATGGCAACATTTTTATATACGTGGAAAATCAAAGAAGCTATCATCTGATACTCCAGTTCTACCTTCTCTAATGCAAGCTTATTGGAGTCAGAGCACAGACAAGAAGTAAAGACTTGTACGTGCACTCTCTACCCACAGAAAGGAAATGCTCAGTCCCCTGAGTACCCTCCTTAGAGAAGAGACTGCTGTGGGTAGCCAGTGTCAACTTAGGGGCTCCTTGCTCCCACATATGAAAGGTCCAACCTGCAGGGCACTCTCTGGAAGGCCAGCAATTCTAAAACCTATCAATAAAGCCAAGAAAGAGCAAGCACTTCAGCATACTTTTCTTCAGGAACTCAAAGGCAATAAGCCAATCTATCTTACTGAAGTTGTTGCCAGTGGTATTGATTCATTCGTAACTTTCTTTAATCAATGTACATGTGAATTAAAACTGTAAAAGGATACCAACCTCCAGCCTCTTTTCAAGCGATTCGATTCTGTCCTTTTTGCTAGCTAGGTTGGCCCGTGTGTAGCGGCTCTGCCCAGGAAGATACAAAACTTGACTGTAGCATTCTTCCCACACCTGGTTATAGGCTTCACTGGAGAGTTCTCCATGACTCATTCCTTGCTTGACCACTTCCATCTCCTGCACCAGAATGTCCTGGGCCTGTTCACAATAACAATTTCAGTAAGTTTAAGCACAACAAATACTTGACATCATCAGAGGGCTTTAAAAACCTAGTTTCTGTCCTCCCTGGTCAAAGGTAAAGAGTGCTGGTTGGTTGTTTCATCTTGTTTGGGTGTCAGGGACGGGAAGAGCTAAGTCAAATGCATCTCCAAAGATCATAACCATCTTATGAACGAACCAGTATGGTGACCTCATCTTGAAGCCAGTGAAACTCAGGCTCAGCAAGATTAAACAATTTATTCCAGATCACACCACCAAACAAGTCATCAGGTGCTTGGGTGGGCTCCATCTGCTCCAGCACCCTACCCAAGCACTCACACCACACAGCATGGGCACAGGGACCCAGGAATTTCTTGACATAAGACTTTTTCTTCATATTCTGAAAGTGCCCCTGAGGCTTCCAGAACAGGATTAAGGGCACATACCAGATAATGATGGACCATATCCCAACTTGAGTCCATTCCTAAAGAATCTCGGTTCCAGTCACAGCTTTACCATACAAGTGGATGGCTGTCTGAATGGCTTAATTTTGCTACCTGACACATTTATCATCAGGATTAAATACATAATATACATTAAGAGCCCAACCCGATACCAGACAGAGTTCCATGAGCGGTCACATAGCCCTCTCCCAGCCCTCACACCATGGCTCCAGAAAAACTGGCAACCACCTTGTGCCTTAGAGAAGGCTTTCAGTCTTTCAAGTAACACTGGAAAATAAACATGTCAAAAATACATAAACAAGAGAAATGACCAACAACCTAAAATGGGAATAAAATAGAAACTCATTCTGGGCCAGGGATTTAGCTCAGTGGTTCCGCCACCTGCCTTGCAAGTGCAAGGACCCAAGTTCCATCCATGGTACCAGGAAAAAAAAGCCATTTTGAGGGGATGTAACCCAGTGGTTCCGCCACCTGCCTGGCAAGTGCAAGGTCCTGAGTTCGATCCGCAGTACGGCAAAAAATAAATAAGAAAGAAAGAAAGTCATTCTGATAAAGAATGGGTACTTTGTTGTTTTTTTTTGTTTGTTTGTTTGGTTTTTTGTTGATACCGGAATCGAACTCAGGACCTTGCATTTGAGAGGCAGACGCAGTGCCATTAAACTAAATCCTAGCCCCAAGAATGAGTACTTATAAATAATAGCTCTTAAGAGAAATAATATAAACAAACCTATTTTAACATACTTGATGAAATTTCTAAACTCTATTAGAAGAGAAATAGTATTTCATTCTAAAATTATGTAAGTAAAAATTTTTAAATCCAGTTCTTGTTATTAAGAGAGAATGAGGCTAGGTTATCTTTAAAGAGTAAGAATAAAGGATCTGCTTCCAATTCTTTTCAGAACAAAAAAATACAAACAGAAAAATAAAATATTAGAGACTATTTAACATTATTTGTTCCAAATAATCCCACAGCAGTACTTAGAATTATTATCTTTAAAACCTATTTGGAATGTCTCCCCTCAAAACCTCTAGGAGCAACAATGTGATCCTTGTTTCGGGTTGCCATACATACAATAAATTTGAGAAAATTTATTTCCTAAATTCCTTCTCCTCCTCATACTTTCACTCTAAAGAGAGGGAACTATGCAAGTATTGATTTCAGAGACTGGCTCTCCACTCAGTGATTAACTGGCCTGCCAGGGCAGGCACTCAGCAGATGTCAGTTTCTCTGTCCAACTCACTAAAAAAGGAAGCTCAAAGGTGCCTAGAAATCCAGAGGGCAAGATGCTGAAATATAAATCTAAACCCTCCTCCCCTTTCTCCACCGTCTCAAAATCCTCTAATAAATACGAATTACTTGTGCAATAAGGAGCCCAGGAAGTGAGAATCTGAGGGGGTGGAGAGAGCGAGCAGGAGAGAAGACAGAGAAGCCTGCAGTGCCTGCCAAGCATGCAGTCTACCTCCGCCTCTCAGAGCCGAATGCAGCAAAGGACACCACAGCATGGCTGTCTTAGAAATTCCCTCTTAACAAGGTGCTTTTGGTAAATACTACAGCAGAGGATATCACCCAAGAGAACTCACCCATGCCAAGGATAACATCCCTTAGGGAAGAGCCTTATGCCTAATCCCTTCTTAACGGTGTCTCCTTCTACATTATTATAGGACAATTAAATTTCAACCTGAGTTTTATAAGAGACAATCAAACACTCAAACTTCCAACTAGGAACTATCTTTATTTTCTTAAACTACTGCAGAGATTTCTACTCATAATCACAGCTGCTTACTCTGTCAAGCAAAAAGAATGAAATGTACACCAAGGAAAAAGCAGAAGCAGGACACAGACTATACCAAGCAACTGCTTCTTCATTATGAAAAAGTGTACAGGGAAATCACTTGAGAGAAGTAAACTCTGTAAAAAGTTATTTCCTTCCTTTGAACTGGTGAGTGGTTTAATGTGTTAACTTTTAATGCTGACAGTCACCAACTGATACTTTGACTTTCACCATTACAATGGTACAAAGGTGCTATGCGTCCACTATTCTGAATTTTGACCTGTTCCCAGCCTATCAACAGGCATCACACTGAACTCTTGTGAGAAGCTGGGCAACAGCTCCTGCCTGCTGTGTGGTCCTGCAGGGTGCAGTTGCTGCCATAAGGCATGGTAGGTTGGGATAGGAAGTACATTTTCAAAATACTATTTTCAACTTACAATGGTTTATCAGGACATAATCCATCATAAGTCAAAGGTTTTCTGTACCCCTGGTTTTTCTTAGGAGTCTAAGTAAATGAGCTTTAAGTATTAAAGGCATTCAATTCTATTCTGAAACAAGAGAGTAGAGCCACAGGAATTGGCAATCGCTACAACTGTCGACCAAGCCAACAATCCCCCTGGACCCAAAACACCTTGCCACCACAACCAGTGTGTATCTAATAAACACGGGGCATGAAGTTATGTAAAGCCTGTCTTTTCACACACCTAATATGAATGTTTATCTTTTCACCACATGCTTGAGCTGCTCATGAGTGCCAATGTGGCAAAACACATTCATGTCTGTCCATGACACACACAGCACCTAACAAATGCTTACATCTCATGACAAAAATACTTCGGTTCAATCATACCTTTTTCAGCTCTTCTTTGGAGAACTTTTCATAGGGATTATGTTCCAGATAGGTGATGTGCTCTGAGCTATTGGTACCAAATCCTACAGTTTTTGCTTTCTTATTTCCAGAAGGTTCGTAGGGGTGATGTAGAAGGTCATAATGAAGCATTGTAATCATTTCTTTTTTGATTAGTTCTTCACTTTTCTGTAAATCTGTTAGAGGTGGCTCTACATTTAATGGTCTTAGAATAGTTTCATTTACCTAAAATTTTAAAACAAGTACAATTAACAAAAATATTACTGTGTCTTATTGCTTTTACAGCATGCATTAAATAGCAGTTTTACATTTTCTAAAGTTATTTTATTTTCCCTCTAAATTATTACTAGGTTCAGTACATAATGATTACATTCAACACAAGGAGTTGGGGTATGCATATAACACATCCTAATTTTTTTTTTGCCCTTCTCCCTCCCTCCATCTCTTGGTCCCTTTCCCTTTGCATAAGATCTACCTCCCTGTTTCCTATTATCTACCTTCTATTTTCAGTATAACATTTTAAAGACTGGATTGGGAACTACATTCCTATATTCCAGAAGGCAGATGAACTTTTGTTTAGTCTTTATGAGTAACATAAGAAGCATCACTCATATGAAAAGAAACAGAGCCAGGTGTGGTAGTGCATATCTGAGTGGTGCACTCTCAGAGGCTGAGGCAAGAGGATCCCAAGTTCAAGCCCAGCCTGGACAACTCAGCTACTTAGGGAGAATATGTCTCAAAATACATGTTCAAAAGGGCTGGGAAGGTAGCTCAGCGCAGAGGCCCTAAATTCAATCCCTAGTACCAAATAAATGATGGAAGAAAGCAAAGGAAGGAAGGAGAAAGGAGAGAGGGAGGGAAAAGAAAGAAAACAAAACCTTCTAAACCAGAAATTTCAATACTTACTTCGGATGGTCTTGGCAAATCTTTCTGGACAGCTTTGTGCATTCGTTTCATTTCCTTCACACGTTCTGCCTCACGTATGGCCTAAGAAATGATTTTATATCCCTTAGTATATTTGACGCTCCTCAACAAAGCTGAAAACACTTTAGTCTATTAGATCAAAAATGTTCAAAACATAAAGCTGTAGAAATCTGTGTAAGTTTGTAGAAAGGTAATGTCAAGGCCACAGACATTGCTTCTCGGCCTTTTGACTAAGATCAAATGTAATGTTAAGGCCACAGAGATCCCTCAGTCTACTCATTCATACTACAAAAGAACCTAAGAATTTCCAATGTCTACCAGTGCACTTCCCAAATGATTGGTCTCCATCCATCAGATAATCACTTTCTGTCTAAATGGCAATGTGAAACAAAGAGACTCTCACAACAGAGCCCTGCCCTTTCACCCCAAATCTACTGACTTTCAACAGCCAGCCAATGTTTCCTGATTCTCAACTTATGAACAATGTGGTAACACATTAAAATTCCATGCCATTTCTGAGAAAACAAATGTAATTCAAACTAAATGAGAGTGCAAAATGCACCACAAAGCATGTTCACATAAGGCTTCCTCAGACAAGGATCTCCACTGATGTCAGTTACACAGCACCCCCACCCGAGAAGAAAGTTTCCTAAAATCACTCTGAGTCATAATCTCACTTCTAGTTCAGGATTCAGGACCTAGCAGCCACAACACTTGGAAAAGTGAATTTAATTAATCTCAGCCTGTCTCCTCATTTTAAAAATGTAGCTAACAATACATTGTTATGTATAAATAACATACATTGGATGTTATGTATAAATGAGAAAATAACTAAACAACATGTTAGTACAATGTGTTACTAATATTTTTGATACTTGCAGACCTCCAAATCCACTGTTTTATTAATTTACACTTGACTTAAAACTATTTTACTCAACTAGCCCAAGATATACACATTTTTAACATCTTTTGTTCACTAGACTAAATCAACACCTAAATGACTTCCAAGGTATATTTTAGTGAAGCAAAATGAATTTGACAAGAGTAAATTTCCATATCCGTATCACAAACGGCTATCACGGTACCATGCGTATAGTATCAATTATGACAATACATATTATTAACGATGTGATCTAATTTAGGATAATTACTTTCAACGTTGAAAACACTGCTGAGTAGAAAATGAGATACTGAACAGTAACTTTTCACTCTTCAAGCCTCCTGACACACAGCCACACCCACACCTTCCTCCCGCACCCTCTCACCTGCTTTCGGGCGTCCACGTCGGCAGCATCCTCGATGTACGCATCATCTACTTCACGTTCTTCCAGCTCCTTCTCAGCATTTTCTGGCAGAACAATTTCAAAATCGTTCTTGGGTGCAGGAAGGCCCATCAACCCTAAACGAAGATGTTCACGAGATTCTCTTTCCTGTAGGAAAAAAATGTTTCTTCTCAACTCAAACAAAGGAAGGAGTCAGTCAATAAGTTTTCTACAAGAGTTTCTAAAAAACATTAGCCTATTAATTCTAGAATAATGATTTTTTTTTTTTTTAGAATACTAGCTTCTGTTTAATCACTGGATTTCAGTTTTTAGAATAATGATTTTGACTGCAGAGCTAAGCCTTTTTAAAATTTTCTACCTCCCTATGATCCCTACATGGAGACCAACCAAAATGTGACTTGTGATCAATGAAGACACTCTGGTATACTCCAACAAAGTTTAGAAAGCACCTCTGTAAGGAGAGGAAAAAGGCTACTTTGATTTTCATAGAAGGAATACAGTTCTGACGTTGAAATTTAACAGCCAATGAACAGAATAAAAGTTAACTTGTCCTTCAACAAATAAAACCAAACCTGAAAGATGGCTAAATCTGTGTGCACATCCACTTACAATGGAAATATTAAGTCACAGGTAAATGAAAGGCAAGAATCCAAAGTTTCCAAACACCCAAAGTTTTTGCCAATGCACTCTTGGCTTACCTCTCCATAAAAATAAAAGTCACTAAGACAATGGACATTTTTACTCAACTTCAGATCCCCTCAAATGTCCAGATGCATGTTTTATACCCAGTAGTTCCCACATTCTTTATATTCAGGATAGGCATTAGTTAATATCAATTTAGGCATTAAAATAATTACAAATTAAATCCATACATTAAGTTAGAATTAAGTTATAAACTGAAGACAGGTCAGGATCATTAGAATTCATTTAAAGGAAAATCTGGCAAGGATTATCTAGCATCAGATAAGGTACCAGAGTGAAGTTACAAAAGCTTAACATGGGCAGAAGCAAAAATTATAGATTTAGAATTTGTTTTCCGTATCACTGCAAAATATACAAAAGAAAATGTAACTGAAATCAACAAGTATCAAATTAACTTGGCTTTAAGATCTAAGCTGTCCTAGAGCTCAGGATTTAGCTCAGGGGCACCATGCCTGCCTCAAAAGTACAAGGTCCTAAATTCAATCCCCAGGACCAGAATGGAAAAAAAAAAAAAAAAAAAAGAACTTGTCTCAAAGATGTACACTGTCCTAAACATATGAAACAAACAGAAGAACTCAGGCTCAAAAATCTAATTTATGAGGCATGTGAAACTATAAAATTACAAAAAGTATATCCTTTAAGAAACTATTAATGATAAAAGTTAAAGTTAAAAGCATTACTTTCAACATTAGTAATATTCACAAACATACTAAGAGTAAAAAAAATAGCTCATAAACCCAAAATCTTCCCCCCACATCAACCCTTACAAACCATTTTCCTTTGCTGGCATCAACACATGTACAGATATGTATTGATGGGGAGAATTTTTAATTTAGTACCCAGGATGCACGGAAAAATTTTTCTTAGGGCTGGGGACAGAGCTCAGTGATAAGAGTGCCTGCTTATCATGTGATCCCCAGTACCACAAAAAAAAAATGAGTATTAAAAGGAAACTGATATTTACCATCTGCTTCACATAAGAGGGATCATTGTAGTCTGCCATCCCATCCTCAGGATTAATGTTTAACTTATCTCTAAGAGGAGTTCTGCCCGGGGTAGAGTTAACCACTGGTTTGGGGGTTGTTCCACTCCGGGGAGTCAGCCCTTCTGCTCCATTAGAAGGAGTCCTGAACGGGGTAGAGAGAACTGTGTTTGGGGTCTGAACAACTTGCCGCTGTGGAGTCACGCCTGAGAAGTCGCTCTCCTGCAATGGGGTGTTGAGTCCTCCTTTTAACGGAGTGTCCACATTGGTCAAGGCCATGAGGTTCTGAGCTTCCTGCAGGATTCTGTCCTGGGAAGCCGGTGTCTGAGGGGTCCTAAGGGCGATGTTGCTGTTGGTGACATTGTACTCAGACAGGAGCGTACTGGAAGCGGAGTTTGTGATGCCAGACTCCTCGGCCGTTTGCCGGGCGATTTCACTTGCTTGGCCCACTTTTACCACTTCCTGGAGTTCTGCATCTGAAATTTGAGGAGCAGGAAGTACTAGTTTGCTTCTCTTTTTAGTAAATTCAGAAACACCACTAGTTTGGAGAATAGCTGATGGTAAATCGGATTCTTTTTTCCGTTTCAAATGCTGTTTATCTTTTTTTCTATCTCTTCCTTCTTTTTCAGATCTCAGCTCTCCATTGAGGTCCTGCTGCCTTAATTTCCTGAAATCTGCATCCAGGGCCTGGTAGTTTTCCTCAGAGGTGTCATAAAAGCCAAGGGCAGGCTTCTTTTCAAATGGGATTTCAGCATTATAATCAACTCCTCTCTTCTTTTTTCTTTTCTTTTGAATTTCTATGCCAGCTGCTCGAAGTTCTCTTCGTTTTTGGAGGGCAGCAAGACGCCTTGCTTCTTCCAACTGTTTCTCTCTTGCTTTCCTTTTGGCCTTCTTCCCCTGGGTATTAGCCAGGCGTGCTCTAGCTTAAGAAAGCACCTCAAGTTCATCCTCGTCCATATCAATTGGATCAGGCCTTGCTGGCTTTGTCTCCGGATTTGGATCTATTTCTCCAGGTTTAAGTTTTCGTGGATCATCTGTGGTTTCCTCTTCATTGTCTCTTTGGGCAGTTCTGTCCAGGAGAAATTCATAGTGCTCCAAGCGCTGGGCTGCTGTTCTTCCGATGATTGGACAGATGGTCCGCCACTGAGTTGGCATCAACTTAGCCATGTGTAAGAGTTTTTCCTCCTCTTCTCTGGACCATTCTGTCTTTTTAATGCTTGGATACAGCCACTCATACCATCTGGCTTTGCACTGCTTTGCTGATTTCCTATGCAGCAGAGAGGCGATCCTAGACCACTGGTTTTTCCCATATTTCATTACCGCTGCTTTCAGAATTTCATCCTCGGTGTTTTTCCACACGCCTCCTTTGATCATAATTCGAGGCATCCTGGCGGCAGAGAGTCCCGGCAAGCGGGACACAAGAGGTTTGAAAAGTGGTAACGGCGGTCCAGCCAAGGAACCAAAGCAGCCACTTCCTCCAAGCGCAACCTTCGGCTTTGAAGAGCAACACTGCAAAATTTTTAAAGAAAGAAAGTAAGCCATTTCTTTTCAGGAAAACATGCTAATTTCCAGCTCCTTTCAGAGCTGTTAAGACTTTCCTATCTGATACTAGAAAACTGACAGGTAAAGAGGAAAGTATGATGAGCTACCCATTGTTCCTTTTCACTGGACACAAATACAGAAGAGGAGGACATAGCTCATCATCCCAATCTTCATGAGAGAGAAGAGGAGCTGGCTCTTGGGAGCAGCTGACATTCCTCTCTCAGGGATCCAAAAGGAAGCTCTCTCCTTCCCACTAACCTCAAAGCCTAACTAGCCCCATGGTTCTACTTTCAAAACTTCTAGAGTTAACAGAAAAAATTTGTGGCTCTGTTATATATACTAATTCACTGAGTCCTGCTACTGTGTGAAATTTAGGAGAATAAGGGAGCAGAAAGATTATATCAGCCATGTTCTGTAGTTCATAGATTTATCTCACTTTGAAGAGGCCTGAGAGCTTTCATAGTAGAAAAAAAAAAATCTCAGCAAAGTGAAGAGACAACCTACGAGTAGAAAAAAATTTTTTGTCAGCTATACCTTGGATAGATAACTAATATCTAAAATATAGAAAGAACTCTAAAAATTAGAAGTAGTAAAAAACTGGGCAACTGAAATGAACAGATAGCTCATAAGTGGGCAGTCAATACATAAAAAAAAGTTTAACATCACTGCCATTACAGAAATGCAAATTAAAACAACTCTGAGATTCCATCTTACTCCAGAAAGAATAGCCATTATCAAGAAGCCAACTAATTAATATTCTGGCAAGTCTGCTGGGGAAAAAGGACCCCTTCTACATTGCTGGTGCGGATGCAAAGTGGTGTGACCACCATGGAAATCAGTATGGAGAGTCCTCAGAAAAGTTAAATAGAAATTCCATTTGACCCAGCTATCCCCCTTCAAGCTATCTTCCTGAGTTAAAGACATCATGTTATAGTAAAAAAAAAAAAAAAAAAGAACTTGTCTCAAAGATGTACACTGTCCTAAACATATGAAACAAACAGAAGAACTCAGGCTCAAAAATCTAATTTATGAGGCATGTGAAACTATAAAATTACAAAAAGTATATCCTTTAAGAAACTATTAATGATAAAAGTTAAAGTTAAAAGCATTACTTTCAACATTAGTAATATTCACAAACATACTAAGAGTAAAAAAAATAGCTCATAAACCCAAAATCTTCCCCCCACATCAACCCTTACAAACCATTTTCCTTTGCTGGCATCAACACATGTACAGATATGTATTGATGGGGAGAATTTTTAATTTAGTACCCAGGATGCACGGAAAAATTTTTCTTAGGGCTGGGGACAGAGCTCAGTGATAAGAGTGCCTGCTTATCATGTGATCCCCAGTACCACAAAAAAAAAATGAGTATTAAAAGGAAACTGATATTTACCATCTGCTTCACATAAGAGGGATCATTGTAGTCTGCCATCCCATCCTCAGGATTAATGTTTAACTTATCTCTAAGAGGAGTTCTGCCCGGGGTAGAGTTAACCACTGGTTTGGGGGTTGTTCCACTCCGGGGAGTCAGCCCTTCTGCTCCATTAGAAGGAGTCCTATAATAACAGAAATCCCAATTATATTAAGTGTCATTTACACTCAGATTTTGCTTTCAAATGTCTTTCACATAAATTATTTCACAAGGACTGCAGAACATAAGGAAGAAACAAAGATTCGAAAAATTCTGTCTGCCTAGTTTAAGTTAGTTCTCTAATTAAAAATAATGGTAAGTTCAATCCCCAGTATGGCAAAATAATAATTTTTTTAAAATAAAGATTTGGTTTAGCTAACATCGTTCATACACATGATATTTAATGGCTTCTAATGGTCATTACATCTGACATCACTTTGGCTTCCTAAATAAGGTCCACCAATAATTATTTCAACCCTCTCCTGCTGTGTGAGGTTGGCGAAGACTGGGCAGTGGGCAGAGAGGCTGCACTCACACACCAGATGACTCTGAGCTCAGTGTGCCCCTCCTATTATTCTTCTCCCTCCTTGTCAAGTGACTGCCTATCTTGTCCAGTCATTCCTGCCACTATCATCAAAGTGCAAAATCACATCTAATATGAACAGGCCAACGGCAAGGGGACCCTCCAACAGCAATGTCCATAGAATAGAATTTGCAGCAACTTAGACTTTAATCGGTCAAAGACTTTTTGCTGCAGTTGTTGCCGTTGCTTTTTTCCCCTATGGTGACTGTATTCCAGTCTGGAGGTGCTGCCAGACAGCTGTTCCCAACAAGTAATGTGTTGTTATGAAAGACATGGCCCCTGCCCCACAGAGCTTACGATTAGCTGAAGAGGGTTAGGCACTCTTCGGCACTGCAAGATGCATTAAATGTTCAACAAGGCCAAGGCCACAGTGGTGCACACCTATAATCACAGGTGTGTAGGAGGCTGACAAGGTCAAGTCTAGGACTGCAAGGGAAAGGCCAGCCTGGACAATCTGGCAAGACCTTGTCTTAAAATGTAAAAAGGCTAGAGATGTAGATCTGAGTAGAGTGCTTGCTAATCATGACAATGGCCTGGGCTCAACCCCAACTACCAAAAAAAGTATGCAGAGTGGCTGCCAGGACTGCTTGATTCTGCTGGCATGTAAAGCTCAAAGTCTGAGGGGCTTCCTATACGAGACCTGCAGGAGTACATATTCTTACAAAGTTAAACCCCAATACCCAGCTCTTAAAAGCTAAAATTCTATTTTAATACAACTTGCTTCTATAACATTTATATCTTAAAGATTCTTTTTTAAAAACAGCAATTTAAAACAAAAGAAATGCAAATAAATACTAAGCTCTAGTTAATGATACGCACATGGAATGTTTAGGCAAGAAAATTGGTATCTACAACATCCTCTGAAGGGCCTTAAAAAATAAGATGACTTGATGGGTAGATAGGTGATAACATGAACACAGCACACTGCTAACAGTCATGGGCAGATGCATGTTCATTACTATTCATTCAACTTTTCTGAATGTTCAAACATGCTGTTCAAGTCCCTGGATTCACGTTTTTCTAAAACATAAAGCACATTTATTTTTAAATACCTGAACGGGGTAGAGAGAACTGTGTTTGGGGTCTGAACAACTTGCCGCTGTGGAGTCACGCCTGAGAAGTCGCTCTCGTGCAATGGGGTGTTGAGTCCTCCTTTTAACGGAGTGTCCACATTGGTCAAGGCCATGAGGTTCTGAGCTTCCTGATGAGTAAGAAGGCAAAGAATTGTGTTTAACAGTTTCAGTCAGGTCACTAGAACCTCCTCTCCCAGTCCTATTACACAGATTCAGAAGCAGGGAGCATTCTTCACATTTTCTCATGAAAACCAAGAGAAAATGAGTACTGGGCCATGACAGATTTTAATACATTCATTCTTTCTCAACCTACTATTTCTGATAGGATATGTCTCAAGACAAAACTTTTTAAAAGGAGTAGGGGCCACAGTTCAGTGGAAGAAAAACTGCCTAGTGTGTGTGAGGCCCAGAATTCAATTCCTACATTGGGGTGAGGGACTAGAAGCAACACAATTTCTATTAAATGATCATTATGCTACCCAATGATGTAATTTGTTACCAAAATAAAAACAACTTTATTATTTTGATTAAAACTGTTCAGTGTCAATAATCACACTGCAAACATTTTCAAAAAGAAAGAAGAAGGGGGCAAGATATTTCTCTCTGCCAGAGAAGAGACAGAGGCCAAGGCATGGATGAAGTAACCAAACCAAGAGAGCGCATCTCTATCAGCAGGAAGTAAGACTTAAGGGTGCCAACTCCTCAACTCCTCCAGTGTTTTGCAAAGTTACACATCGCCCAGCACACAACAAGGGGAGCACAGAGCTGCTCACACCCGCCTGGAGGGAGGGAGATGCAGGAGGTGAGCTGCCACCACACTGTGTCAGGCCAAGGACAGAAATGTGAGGAAGTCTGAGATCACTGACTACACATGCTGACTTCTTTCCAGGATCACTAAGCTATGTGACATTGTTGTTTTCCCAACAGGTACAACAGGCTGCTGCCAACAGAAGAGCTGAATTCAAAATGTTACAAATACACTGAGAAAGGAACCACTTAACTACCGAATCTGCTGACGTGGCTTCTCTGCTACAGAAATGCTCTAGGAGCTGAGCAGCCTGGATTCAGTTTGAAATTGCTCACCCTGAAGAAAATATAGCCAAGCTACTCTGTTTTCCTCTGTGACACTGTTAAGGATAATACAGCGAAGGGTCACTCTACCACTGTAGGTGATGCATCACCTGCAGGATTCTGTCCTGGGAAGCCGGTGTCCGAGGGGTCCTAAGGGCGATGCTGCTGTTGGTGACATTGTACTCAGACAGGAGCGTACTGGAAGCGGAGTTTGTGATGCCAGACTCCTCGGCCGTTTGCCGGGCGATTTCACTTGCTTGGCCCACTTTTACCACTTCCTGGAGTTCTGCATCTGAAATCTAACAGAGACAATAATTACAATAAGCCCCACTTTAACTGAGAACCAACACAGCTTCAAATTAGCATAGTTCCAAAAAACTGAGTCGCTGAAGCAGTGAGATGGGCACACAGGGTTCACGGTGCTCGTCTCTTTTCTAAAGCTCTGAAAATTTCCACAGTAAAATTTCAAAAAGCCTCTCCTACATCATGGGGGGAAAATTCATATATGATTCAAACTCAAGCTAAAATAGCTATATTTCATACTGAAATCATTTCAAACCAATACATTAAAATACAGAAGACATAAAATAGTAGTTTGCACAAAACTAATACAAGAAGAGTGAAAACAAATTAAAATATCACTCTAGAGTACTTACACTGAGCCAAAGATCCCTAAAGAAAATCTGCTGCTACCTTAGTAATTTTACCAAAATAAATATCCTAAGGAGTATTAAGAAAAAAAAATCAGCACTGTGGGAGGCTGAGGCAGAAGAACTGCAAGTCTAAGCAATGCAGCAACTTAAGACCCTGTCTCAAAATAAAAAATCAAAACAAAACAAAAAAGCCAGGGATGTAGCTCAGTGTTAAGGCCCTAAATCCCTAAGTTCAATCCCCAACATTAAAAGAAAAAAAAGAAGAAACAAAACCATAGACTGGCACAATGGATTAAGAAGCAAAATCCAATAATATGTTTTATACAAGACACACCTAATGCAAAAAGAAGGCCATAGACTGAAAGTGAAAGGACGGAAAACTTCTTCATCACACAACAGGAGCCAGAAAAAAGCAGGGGTAGCAATCTTATTCACAGACAAAGTAAATTTCAAACCTAAACTGATTAAAAGAGACAAAGAAGGCCACTACATCCTTGTGAAGGGAACAACTGAAGAGGAAGAGATAACAAATAATTCACTTTCAATCTACTGAGTATGTTAGAAAGCACATATGCTTCTTTTTTCTTTTCTTTTTTTTTTTTTTTTTTTTTTTTTTTTTTCTTTCCCTGGTGCTGGGGATTAAACTCAGCACACTGCTCTGGCTAGGCAGGTGCAGCAGCACTACTGAGCTAAATCTCAGGCTTTACACTTCTTTTTTTTAAAATTTATCAACACATTAATCTGTCTTTATATGTTGGTCTACCAAATTGATGAGTTATTTTGGTTCTCATTTTCTTTGCTTTTTTATTTGAGAATTTATGAAATCTGTACATATGAGTACTATGAAAAGTATTAAGGTCCATCCGTCATTCTCCTCTCTCATCTCTGCCTTCTGCAAACTTCCTTTTCTGTCACTACAGCTTGTTTGGTTGGAAATTGTTATATCAATATATCTTTGTACCTATTTTCTACTGGTAATGAATATTAATTTTTAAGTAAATTTTGTAACTATAAATAAATGGATAATAAATCATTAATATCATTCAGTATCTGGTACAAATTCTCGAACTGCCTCAAAGATGATATTTGTTTTTCTCAAATCACACAAATCACAAACATTCCACAGATCACTGCACTGTTTTATTATACCAAAGTATATATTGTATTGTAGAAAATATGCATTGTGTATATGAGTGGAGGTATGTTTTTACACATATGTGTGCACTATTAAATGAGAAAGATGGTCATGAACGTGGTAGGATTGTGCACATTTGGCATATCGATAGTTTCTCTGGCAACCTTATGATTTCTCTAAATTAGATGCTTGATTTAATTCATAGTCATTTGTTTGGGAAGAATATTACATATGTGTTAGTGTTAAATTCTATCATTATGCTTATAAATAAATATAATTAAAAACAAGTATGGGATATAACAAAAAAGAAACAGAAAAATCTGATCTTAAAAATGTGAATTCTTTTAGTTGTTTTTGGATTTCAAATATAAGTACATTTCTTTTCTGTGGGAAGTTTTGTTAAAAAATGTAAGTGATACAATCAACAAGTATATGATATTTATCAAATTAATAAAACCAAGTAGTTTATACATCATAAAATTTTGAGGAGAGTTTCTGAACTATAATATGTAACTTTGTTTTATTTGTAAATACAATATTTCAAAAATATTATACGAAAAGAAAATGAGAAAGAACATATAATGTCTGAAGATCATATCAAACCAATAATGTATTTGGATTATCAGTCTGTGTTGCATAAATTTTTCTTTATTTCATATACTTTTTTTGCTGTCATATATGTTTATTTGAAATTTTTTATTTAGTATCTTTATTTCTTGTTGTTATATATGTTTGCAATCTTTAATTTAAAAAAAGGTAAAAAATAATTTAAAAAAGAAAAGTTCAATCAAGAAATATTACTAGACATGCAACCTGTGACTGTTAATTTCTGCTCACCCACATATCTTGTGTGGATGCAACCAATGCATTCTCCTGTAGAAAGCAGCTCTCCCAGCCTCCTCCGCCCTCTCCTCACTGCACTACACCTGTCCAGGCCTACCATACTGTACTCTTCCAAACAGGAAGGACTCGAAGTTTCCATGTTTCTGACCAACTTTAACTCAAAGGATTAGAGCCTGTACTAAGCTGAATGAAGGGATGTTTGCATTTCTCTCCACAACTACCATAGTGATTTTTTTACAGTTGTTATCTTAAAAAAAAAAAAAACACGACACATCAAAGTGATCCCTGAAAGAGAGCCATGAAAGTCCACAGAACCAATCCTACCCATCCTGGTCAGCTACAAGAGGGCAGGAGCCAAACCTGCTGACAAATGACGAGTGCTGACAGTGACTTACCACACTATCACAGTGTACGACCTGATAAAATCACTCATACAGAGAGTTATACATTTTCCATACTATAGTACAACAAATTATTTTCATGTGTGAATTTAAGGTTACACAGCACAAGCCTGATCCATGGCACTTCACACATTTTCTGAATAAATGAGACAAGCAAATAAATTCAAACAATGAGAGTAACTGCTTTTATCAGATTACCTGAGGAGCGGGAAGTACTAGTTTGCTTCTCTTTTTAGTAAATTCAGAAACACCACTAGTTTGGAGAATAGCTGATGGTAAATCAGATTCTTTTTTCCGTTTCAAATGCTGTTTATCTTTTTTTCTATCTCTTCCTTCTTTTTCACTGTCAGGGGCAAGAAACAGAAGAAGAGATTTTTAAAGTTACACACAGACAACAACACTAAAAGTCATTCATTAAAATACACAGTAGGGACGAGGGATGTAGCTCAGTGGTGTGGCACCAAGTCTGCCTGACAAGCGCAAGATCCTGAGTTCAAGTCCCAGTACCAAGAAAAAGAAAAAAAAAATCAAAATACACCTGAACAATCCCATTTCTAAGAAAATAAGTTTAAAACGACAAAAACAGCATATATTAAGCTGTTTGTCATACCATTACTTATGTACTATATTTAAGAATACAAGCTTAGAATAGCAATAGCATTATTAAGAGAACAGGGTACACCAATGTAGGTACAGAAGTTAAATCATAAAACTACCAAGGTTGTAATAGACAAAGCACTACATATAATGTCCAAAGAAAAACATAAAGCAACTCCTACCTACACTGTGATTCTATATTCATATAGAAAATTGTATGCATGTAGGAAAAGGTTGAAGACGAGTATGCCAGAGAAGAAACAAGTATATGAAGGAGATGGAACTAAAACACACTGTGACCTTTTAAATTTCTTCTTAAAACTGTTATTAAAGTTTTAGGGCTTTTAACATTCACGAAACTTTTTGAAGGTATTTAATACCGACAAATGATACCCAAAGGTTGTTAGGAAACCAAGAGAGAGTCTTTCAAAGCTCTAGAAAAACCTTTTCCCCTTCTGCCTATCTTCCTTTCCTTCATCTAGTCTAGTCTTTCCAAATAATTACAAGGTATGACTGAAAAATACAGTGAATGAGGGCCAGGGATTTAGCTGTGACACCATTCCTGCTTCGCAAGGACAAGGTCCTGAGCTCAAGCCCTGGTATGGGGGGTGGAGGGTTAAATTTAAAACTTTATTATAGTAAGCAGCACATTGCCCTCAATCCTGTCCCTCACTTCAAACACACTTAACTCACTCTTCCTGTACACTATCCCATTCTGCAGCAGTTCTGAAGTCCTGGCTGCTTTCATGCCATGAATGGACTCAAAACTTTTACCTTTCATAGTCATTTTGACTTTGGGGAAGAGCCAGAAGTCACACAATGCCAGAATCAATGAACACAGTGGATGAAGACACAGCATAACGTTTTTACAAGCCTGTCTTTCCCTTGGACAGCACTCAACAGCAGTGTTCACTTTAATTTTTTAATCTTATTTTTTATCGTACCTCACAAAGACATTCACAAAAGAGGACTTCCAGAACTGCTTCAGACGGTGATAAGAACAAGGGGTAAGTGTGTTCAAAGCAAGAGGAGTGTACTGAGGAGCATTAATGGTAACATGTCTTTTACTATATAAACTTTTTAAAATGTAAACATTTCATAGTACAGTTTTCCTCTTTAATCTCTATTTCTAAAGCTTACCTAAAGCAAGATCCTAATCTGAGAAATAAATGCAATGGTTTATATTCAAGAAAAGGCTGTTTTATACAGTAGTTGAAAGCTATGTAGTAACTGGTATCAACATAAATGGAAGATCAAAACAGAAGCAAACTAAAAATATTTCTTAGCAACCCTAACATGTTCTCCATATAATATGCAAATATAAGATTTAAAGAGCCGGCCTGGTGGCACATGACCATAATCCCAGTACTCAGGAGGCTGAGGCAGGAGGATCACCCTGAGTTTGAGACCAGCATGGGCTACATAGTGAGTTCCAGGTCAGTCTCAATGACCTGGTGAGACTACAACTAATAGTGAGACCCTGTCTCAAAAAAAAAAAAAAGATTTAAAGAAAGTAAAACTCTCTAAAAATGGCAAAACCCTCTCAGACATTAACATTCATAAATATACCTACTTATCCCCATTAAGTAAAAAGATTTAAGAATATATCAGTATTTTTTTCTTCTAATCATTTAAAACAAGGTAAAAATTTTCACTAAAAAATCCACAAAGAACCAGATTAGAATTTGACAGACTTCCTCAGAATCATCAACTTGTTCTAAAATTGTACTTGAATGTGAAGATGTGGTGCCCACAGGACTGTTCTAGAGCCAGGACATAGGACCAGGTGCTAAAAACATGACACCCAGGGTCACGCCAAGTGGTCTCAGGAAAGTGAATCCATAAACAAAAAAAAGTAGCCACCACTATGGCCCAGCACGCCAGAGACCAGCAGCTGCCTGCAGCCCTCCGGTAGGCCCGCCTCTTAAGCCCAGTGTATCAGAGGAGCACAGCAGGGCGGGGGCGCCAACACAGGGGTGTTTGTGTGTGTGCCCCCCACCCCCACCCCGCCACCACGCGAAAAATCAAAAAAGGGCCTCTCTGAGGCTCCTAGAAGAAAATCGGAGCCCACTGGAAAAGTGAAGAAAATCTGCAATAAAGGAACACCACACCACCATAGTTGGTTAAGTCGGAGGGACCAGCACCTCACATTGGAACCTGCTCTAACTTCAGGGAAAGACAGCTGGAACCTGCAGTAGAACCTTTCAGAGCTAAACCCAGCAGGAGGTCAGAGATCTCAACTTGGCCCTTGCAGCCAGAAATCAACCTGAACCTTAGAGGACAGCTACTGGCTTGCTGAGACAAATTAACTTAGATCTGCACACTCCTGTCCACACTGTCTATTTTGTCAACAGAGGCATACCCTAAAAGGAGGCCCTCTATTTCTATTTGTATTTTTTACTTTCAAAGTAATATTTTTCTCTTATCTTTAATCATTTTTAAAAAACTATTTTCTCAGATTTTTTAAAATCTTCTTTTTCTTATCTTCTCTCTCCCTCCCCCATTCCCACCTTGATCTTCATTACTCTCCTCTTTTGTTCCTGTTCCTATACTAATTCGAATTTATTTTCTTTCTTTTCCTTTTCTTCTCTTTTTCCTTCTCTCAACTGCCATTTTCTTTTCTTTTCTTTTTTGAGACAGGGTCTCACAACATAGTTGAGACTGACCAGGAACTCACCATGTAGTCCAGGCTGGTCTCAAACTCACAGCAATCCTCCTGCCTCAGTCTCCCAAGTGCTGGGATTACAGGCATGCACCACCACACCCAGCTCAACTGCCATTAGTTTTAAAAGAAAGTGATTTGTCTCTAGCCTCCCTACCACTCTTAGTTTGATCTGTTCTTGTGTATATTTTTTTCTGTCTTCTCCTCTTCTCTTCAACAACTCCCTAGAGTTTGTGTCATCTTCCTGTGTGTTCTGACCTCACTTCTGACCTTTATCCTATTTATCCCTGCCTCCTCAACTCCTTCAGAATCCCCATCCTGAAGGGTAAAGTTGCTACATTGAAGAGTTTATTCACTATAAACATATTTATTCACTATAAACATATTTGGGGTTGGTCCTCGATTTTTATTTAATTCACACTGTTAAAGGTGATGGATTCACTACCACAAACTGTCATTTTCTAAGCTGTGCTTGATGCTACTGTGTTGCTGATTGTATCACCTGGGCTAAGGTGTTGTGACTGTTCTAATCAGTTGTCCTCCCTGATATAAAAAAAATGAGATTGCCTCAGAGTCATTAGAGACTCAAAACCTAAAAACCAGCTATATCTGGAAGATCGAAATATTAACCCAGGAATCAAACCAAGGACAAAAAGAGAAATGAGAAGACATTTAAACAACACACAAACACAGACTTCCACCTCACCAAGGGTAAACTCTGAGGGAAATGAGGTGGAAAAGTCTGACAGTCAACCATCTGGACACCCTGAACCAATAGCACATGAAGCAAAAAACAAACAAATAAACACACACACACACACACACACACACACACACACACACACAAATATATGAGGCTTGAATTATTTCAAAAGAAATAATTTCACAGATAACCACAGAGATGGTGAGAATGAAAAACATGATTAGAGACTCTAGAACAGAAACAGATTAAAAAAAAAAAAAATAGATGAACTCAGGGCCATGATGGAAATCTTGAATGCCCAACATAGGAAAGAAATGGAATCCATGAAACAGATTCAAACAGATATCCAGGAGATTAAAAACTCCATAGAAAGCATTTGCAGCAGAATGAACAAAGGTGAAGATAAAATTTCAGATATTGAAGATAGGATTGTGGTAGGTGACCATGAAAAGAGAGATCTCTTAAAAACAGTAAGGGATCATGAAAAATCAATCCAACAACTCTTAGATGATGCAAAGAAGAATAATATGAATAATATAAGACTGATAGGAATCCATGAAGTAGCAGGAGAAAGTACAAATGACATTAAAAAAAAAAAAATCAACACCTAGACATGTAATAATCAAGATCCCGGAAACCCAACAGAACAAAATACTACAAGCTATTAGAGAAAAGAAACAAATCACACGCAAAGGAAAGCCCATCAGAATCACAGCAGACATTTCAACACAAATCCTCAAGTCAAGGAGAGCCTCTGGAGTGAGGTTTTTGTTTCGTTTTTGTTTTTGGTACTAGGGATCAAACTCGGGTCCTTGCACTTTTGAGGCACACAGCAGAACCATTGAGGTAAATCCCCAGGCCCTTTTTCAACTCTTTTTTTGTTTTGGTTTTTGCTTTTGTTTTTGGTATGGGGATTGAACTCTGGTCCTTGCACTTGCAAAGCAGGTGCTGGAACCACTGAGCTAAATCCCTGGCTGGCGTGAGGTATTTCAAGCCCTAAAAGAAAACAACCTCCAACTTAGACTGATGTATCCTGCAAAACTATCTTTCAAAATTGATGGGGAAATAAGATACTTCCATGACAAAGAACACCTGAGAAATTTCATGAACACCAAACCAGCACTCCAAACACTTCTAAACAATATCCTGGAAAAACAAAATGAAAGCCACAACTCCATAAGGGCCAACAGAGCAAATATACCAGGCAAGATAAGAAATTAAAGGGAGAGACAGGGAAAATAAAAAAATAAAAGAACCAACAACAGGAAAATAACATGACAATGAAAAGTCAATACATAATAGTTATAACCATCAATATTAATGGCCTCAATTTACCAATCAAAAGAAAGAAATAGGCTGGCAGAATGGAAGAAGCAAAATCCAATATGCTGTATACAAGAAACCCACTTAATCCATAAAGAAATTCATAGACTGAAAGTAAAAAGATGGAAAACAGTTCTCCATGTAACAGAAGCCCAGAAACAAGTGGAGGGGGGCTATCTTATTTGCAGACAGAACAGATCTCAAACCAAAACTAATTAAGAGAGACAAAGAAGGCCACTACATCCTTGTAAAGGGAACAATACAAGAGGAAGAAATGACAATCATAAATACATATGCACCAAATACAAATGGCTACAACTATATAAAACAAATATTAATGGATATGAAAAACTAAATAAGCACTAATACAGTTGTAGTGGAGGACCTCAATACTTCCCTTACACAAATAGACAACAAGGAAATAAAGGAACTGAACCAAGTCTTAGAAGAAATGGACTTAGTAAGATGTCTACAGTGTTCCACCCCAAAAAATCAGAATATACATTCTTTTCAGCTGAACACGGTTAATTCTCCAAAACAGACCACATGCTAGCTCATAGAACATGCTTAAGTAAATACAAAGGAACTGAAGTTATCCCCTGTATATTATCAGACCATAGTGCAATTAAACTGGAGATCAATAGCCTAGGAAACTGCAAGAACTTCACAAACACATGAAAATTAAGTAACACCCAGCTGAACAACTGTTGGGTCGCAGAGGAAATTAAAGAAGAAATTAGACAGTTTCTACAATTAAATGATAATGCTAATACAACATATAGGAATCTATGGGACACAATGAAAGCAGTTCTATGAGAGAAATTCACAGCAGTAAATGCCCATACTAGGAAAACAGAGCAAGTTCAGATAAACAACCTAATGCTTAACCTTAAGCTTCTAGAAAAAGAAGAGCAAGACAAACCAAAAGCTCATACAAAGAAGGGAATTATAAAGGTCAGAGCAGAAATTATTGCAATGGAGACTAATGGAACCATACCTTAAAAAAAAAAAAAAAAAAGCAATGAATCAAAGAGTTGGTTTTTCAAAAGAATAAATCAAATCAATAAACACTTAGCCAATCTTATCAAAAAAAGGAAAGAAAAGGTTCAAATTCATGCAATTAGGAATGAAAAAGGTGAAGTCACAAAAGATCCACCAGAAATTCAGAGGATCATTAATACCTACTTCTAAAACCTGTATTCTAATAAAATAGAAAGAAATGGACAGATTCCTAGGTACATATTAACTTCCAAAGTTGAATAAAGAAGATGTAAAAAGTCTCAATACCCCAATTACATTCAGTGAAATTGAAAATGTAATTAAAACATGACCTCCAGGCATGGTGGTACATGCCTGTAATCCCAGCACTCGGGAGGCTGAGGCAGGAGGATTGCTCTGAGTTCAAGACCAGCCTGGGCTACATAGTGAGTTCAGGTGAGTCCCAACTACATAGTGAGACACTGTCTCAAAAAACCAAAATAAATAAATAAATGACCAATGAAGAAAAGCCCCGGTCCTGATGGCTTCACTGCTGAATTCCACAAGACATTTAGAGAAGAACTATCGCCACTACTCTTTGAACTCTTCAATGAAATTGAAAGAGAAGCAAGACTTCCAAATTAATTCCTGGAAGCAAATATTACTTTGATTCTAAAACCAGGGAAAGACCCAACCAAAAAAGAGAACTACAGGCCAATCTCCCTAATGAACATACAACAAAAATCTTCAATAAGACACTGGCAAACAGAATACAGAAGATCATCAAAAAGATCATACACCCTGAACAAGTCAGATTTATCTCAGAGATGCAAGGATGGTTCAACATACATAAATCAATAAATATAATACACTATATTAACAGAATTGAGGACAAAAACCATATGATCATCTCAATAGATACAGAAAAGGCATTTGACAAAACTCAAAACCCGTTCATGATAAAAACCCTATAAAAAGTAGGAACAGATGGTCTTTACCTCAACTTGATAAAGGCTATCTACGAAAAAACAACAGCCAATATCATCCTAAGTGGTCAAAAACTGAAAACTTTGATGCTAAAATCAGGAACAAGACAAGGATGTCCACTATCACCACTTCCGTTCAATATAGTTTTAGAAACATTAGTCACAGCAATTAGACAAGAGAAAGAAATAAAAGGAATAAAGATAGGAAAGGAAGAAGTTAAACTGTCACTATTTGCTATTGATATGAAACTCTACACAGAAGACCAAAAAAGCTCTGCCAAAAGACTTCTAGACTTATTTGACAGATTCAGTAGAGTAGCTGGATACAAAGTCAACATTCAAAAATCAATAGCTTTCTTGTACAAAACAGACTCACCAAGAGAGAAATTCGGGAAACAATTCCTTTCACAGTAACATGCAAAAAAATGAAATATCTAGGAATCAATCTAACAAAGGAGACAAAAGACCTCTACACTTAAAATTACAGTACTCTGAAAAAAAGACACAAAAGAGGATATATGATGGAAAGACACCCCTTGCTCCTGGGTAGGAAGAATCAACATAATGAAAATTGCCATACTTCCTTCCAAAACTGCTATACAGATTCAATGCAATCCCAAATGAAAATCCCAACAGTGTATTTCACAGAACTTGAGAAAATAATCCAAAAATTAATTGGAACCAGAAGAGACCTAGAATAGCAAATACCATTCTAGGCAACAGAGACATGGCAGGGGGTATCACAATTCCTGACTTGAAACTATACTACAAAGTCACTGTGACAAAAAACAGCATGGTACTGGCAAAGAAACAGACCCGAGGATCAATGGAATAGATTAGAAGATGCAGACACAACACCAGACATTACTCAGCTACCTCATCTTTCACGAAGGAGCCAACCATCCTCACTGGAGGAAAGATAGCCTTTAATAAATGGTGCTGGAAAAACTGGATTTCAACTTGCCAAAGATTAAATCTAGACCCCTATCTTTTACCATGCACTAAACTAAAATCCAAGCAGATTAAAGATCTAAATATCAAAACAGAAACACTAAACTTACTGGAAAGCATGTTAGGTAGAACTCTTGAAGACATTGGCAAAGGAGAAGACTTTATGAACAAATCCTCAGCAGCACAAGAACTTGCACAAAGAATCAACAACTGGGATTTCATTGTATTAAAAAGTTTTTGTAGTGCAAGAGAAATCACCAACCAAGCTAAGAGACAACCTACAATGTGGGAAAAATTTTTACCAGCTACTCTCAGACAAAAGACTACTATCTAGAATATAAAAAGAACTCAAAAAAATTAGACCCCTCAAATACAAAGACCTGATTCAAAAATGGGCATCTGAAATGAACAGATTTTTCTCAAAGAAGTAAAAGCAGCAAATAAACATATGAATAAATCTTCAATATCACTTGCCATTCAAGAGATACAGATGAAAACAGCACTGAGATTCTACCTCACCCCAGAAAGAATGGCTGCTATCAAGTAATCAACCAATAACAAACGCTGGCAGAGCTGTAGGGAGAAAGAAACCCTTCTCTATTTTTGGTGGGAGTGCAGACTGGTGTAACTACTGTGGAAATCAATATGGAGATACCTCAAAGAACTAGGTCCAGAGGTCCCATTTGACCCAGCCATCCCTCTGCTGAGTATCTTTCTAAAAGAATTAAAAGAATCATATCACAGTGATATATGTGCACCCATGTTTATAGTGGCACAGTTTGTAATAGCTAAAACTTGGAAACAACCCAAATGCCCATCAAATGGAAACTGGATAAAGATGTGGTTTTTCTATTAAATGGAGTACTACTCAGCCATAAAGAATGAGAAACTAGAAACATTTATAGCTAAATGGATGCACATTGAGGCTATACTCAGGTGAAATAAACAGGACACACTTGAGTAAATACTGAATAGTTTCTCTGGTGTGAAAAACTAAAAGTGCAAATAAGGTTCAAATCGTATAAGTGAGAGGGTGAAATAGGAAGAAAACAGCTAAAGGAGAAGTGGGAAGGAGAAGGGAAAGGAAATAAGGAAAAAATGTAAAAAAAAGGAAAAAAATAAAAACAAAGTCTCTGTAAACAGGGAGAGGTGAAGGGGGTGAAGGGAGGGCAGGGGTATGGGGGAAAAACTATGAACCAAGGCATATCATGTAAACAACGTACAAGATCCCAATGATAAACGTAACTGTATTGTTTGCTTTAATTGTACCAGTAAAATTAATGGGGAAAAAATAAATAAAAAATAAAAGTGTAAACAAGCCACAGTCAGCTGAATAATAAAAATCTGACTCTGACAAGGGTAACACTCAACCCTTCACAGGATTCCTCCCATGAGCATCCATTTCCAAAGTCAGAAAGGCCAACTTACGATCTCAGCTCTCCATCGAGGTCCTGCTGCCTTAATTTCCTGAAATCTGCATCCAGGGCCTGGTAGTTTTCCTCAGAGGTGTCATAAAAGCCAAGGGCAGGCTTCTTTTCAAATGGGATTTCAGCATTATAATCAACTCCTCTCTTCTTTTTTCTTTTCTTTTGAATTTCTATGCCAGCTGCTCGAAGTTCTCTTCGTTTTTGGAGGGCAGCAAGACGCCTGAAGAAAAGAATGAATGCATCATCACCTTAAAATCATTCCCACAGGACAAGAAGGGATCGTGCCAGAGTTAAGAGAACTATCTGGGTGTGTAATGGAAAGAAATATAAACCCTTCTTCACACTGTTCATCAAAACGAACTTCAGTTTTCGTTTAAAGACACACAAATATACACAATAAAGCAAAATGAAAAACCAGGAGGAACTATAACTAAATTTGTGTCTTATTTCTGGATGAGATTGTACTTCTTAAATATAAATTAAATAAATGGAAAAGGAAAAGATCAACAGCCTTGAGATTTAAATTTTATAACTAAAGCACTATAAAAAAATAAATTAAAAGGCAAATAATGGGAAAAACTTTTTTTTTTCTTTTTTCTTTTTGGTACCGGGAATTGAACTCAGGTCTTTGTGCTTGCAAGGCAGGCCACCGAACCGCTGAGCTAAATCCCTGGCCCAAAAACGTTTTTGTAATATTACAAATATAGTAGTTAAAGAATCTATACCATGTATGCCAAATTTTTTAAAAATTCACTCCAAGAGGAAAAAAAGAACAAAGAAAAAGAAATAGTTCATAAAAGAAAAATACAGCCAGACAGGGTGGCACATGATTGTAATCACAGTTAGAAGGGAATCTGAGACAAAAGGAACACAAGTTCAAAGCCTACGTGGGCAACTTACCAAGACCCTGTCTCAAAAAAATAAAAAGGGCAGGGTGTAGCTCTGCGACAGAATGCTTGCCTATCATTCAGGAGGCCCTGAGTTCAATCCCTAGTATTACAATTTTTTAAGAAAATAGCAGGCCAGAGATTTAGCTCAGTTGCACTGCACAAGGTCCTGAGTTCAATCCCTGGGACAAAAAAAAAACAAAAAAAAGAAAAACACGCAAATAACTAAAATGACAAAATAAAAACAATAGTTTTACTTAATAATTTTTAAATCACAATTAAATTATCAAGTACCATCTATGAATTTTAATTAATCCAATCCTTTGATTTCTTTTATTGGCAAAGGTGTAAAATAGAGAAGCTTACACATTACATATTACACATTAGAAGCCTGAAGTTCAAGTTTTTTTAAACCAGAAATTTCATTCCTCAGTCTTTACCTTGAGGAAATAAATCAGAACATGAGTGAAGACTGAACTTGAAGACTATTCACTAAGCACTGCTCTAATGCTGGGTAAGTGGACACAATCATTCATTAATAAGGTAATTCATAAGTTAAATGAATTTATACACAGCTGTACCATACTAGACAGCCATCTACATAACCTTTAGAAAGGCTCAAAATCTATTCTGAAAAAGGCCCAAGACATAGAGCTCTGTAAAAAATGTTCAAAGTTCACATTAGAGTAACATATAAAAATTATATACAAATGCACCCATCCCGAATTTTTTTTGGTTTTTTGGTACCAGGGATCAACTCAGGACCTTGCGATTTTAAGGCAGCGCAGTGCCACTGAGCTAAATTCCTGGCCCCCACCCATGAATTTTTAACAGTGATAATCCCTGTGGTGTAAAATTCCATTTAATTCTCTTTTTTCTTTGTAGTTTCTTATGATGCTTTTAATAATGGAATAAGTTATCAATATGAAGGGGAAGAAAACAAGTCACAAAATAGTATAATATATAAAACTTACAAAGATGTGCAGGTTACACACACACACACTCAAAAAAAAACCTACAAGAAATTTTAAGGTAAATTAAAGTCTGCAAAAATTTGTTTAAACCAATCGATGCTGGCCAAAATTGGGAGATTTTTCACAAATGCATCTAATGCCCTAGGCCCACTGACACAGTTAAAGGGCTCTAAAAACAGAATCTCCTAACAGCTCTGGGTAAAAATGGAAGAGTTACTTAACCCATATAGAAATGAAAAGTGGCCAAGACTGGGCAGAAGCTTAGCACTTCCTCCTAGTTTGTTTGCTCTTGCAGGCCAGTCATCTTCCCATCAAAAGTTAACCACTCCTACGCTGGAGATTTAGCTCAGTGGTTCCGGTGCCTGCCTCACAAGTACAAGGACCCCAGTTCAATCCCCGATACCAAAAAAAAAGTTAACCACTCCTGGCTGGGCATTGGCCAGCTATGCCAACAAGCACCCTCAGACATGAGAGAATCTCCATCCAGGACCTGGCATTTCAAAACTACCACTGGGGCCGGGCGTGGCGGCGCATGCCTGTAATCCCAGCACTCGGGAGGCTGAGGCAGGAGGATCACTGTGAGTTTGAGACCAGCCTGGGCTACATAGTGAGTTCCAGGTCAGTCTCAACTACACAGTGAGACCCTGTCTCAAAAAAAAAACAAAAAAACCAAAACTACCACTGAGGAAACCACCAACACAATGCTACATATCAGCAAGAAGCACTTCTCCATCAGCCAGGGCTCCATGAAAGGCACTGTAGGCTGGGGGGTTTTCCACCACCTGCATCCCAAAAGCTAAGGTGCTGATAGTTCAGATGGTCTCTGGGCCATTAGAAGCACTACCTCAACCATGGTGTAATCAAAAGGAAAGAAGAATAAAGCAGAGAACATCCTAGGTATAAGGCAACGCCTAATATACATTCACTCACTTTTCAAATGAAGACTTCTACGAGATCCTAAAACTTGTGTGAAAGCTCATTAATGCCCTCTCTGTTCGGCAGATTCCTATTTCACACACCTTGTGTGTCTTCCAGGCATTTAACCTCAAGATGCCTCAACAGATGAAGCTCTGCTATTCCAAAAGAACAAACCCAACATACAGGGTAAGTAACATACTCATTACTTCTATTGTCTTACAAATTTTTAAGAAGATCTATTTTTTTCTGTAACTAGTACTCCAAAATGGTTAGGAGTAAAAAAACACAAGATATTTTCAGAGTAAAAAAACTAAAGAATATAAGCAAAATGGAATTGGACAACAGAGATTTTTATTCACCAAGCTGCACTGACACGTCGCACAATTTTAGTGAGCTAAAGGATGCATCCACGAACTGTTGAACACAGAAAGACAAAACCATACCTTGCTTCTTCCAACTGTTTCTCTCTTGCTTTCCTTTTGGCCTTCTTCCCCTGGGTATTAGCCAGGCGTGCTCTAGCTTCAGAAAGCATCTCAAGTTCATCTGCAAAGAAGAAAAGCTAAGTTCCTCTCCAACATAAGTGAGGTACGTAACAGAGACAACCCACTGCTTAAAATGAGAGAAACACACTCATTAAATGCTGTACTGTAATGAAAATGCCTTGGGTTTTGAAGTCAGGGAAACCCAGATTAAAAACCAGATCTACTGCTTGCTAGCTACACAACCTTAGCCACTTATTTATGTTCTTTGAGCATGCTGCCCTGTAAACTTGCAGTAACAACGCTTACTTCACAGTGATGTTGAGAAGAGCTAAGTAAAATGAGATACGTAGGCATCTAGCAAGTATTCGTGAGATGGAGGCTGCACTGCCTCTCTCATTATTATCAAGTGACACAGTACAATTGTGAAACGCTGTAAAAACTCTGAAGGAGTTCCTAGTCTCCATCAGCTACATTCTCCCCCGGAGAACTCACTCTCTCTCTCCCTCCCACCCGCCTCTGCCAATACATCATTCACATCTCCCCAGAATAGAACCATAAATGCCATGACTGACGCCTTCAGAGCAATTTCTACACAAGGAGGTCCCATGACATCATATGGGAACTTTTAACTCCTCACAACTCCAGGATCACTGCGTTCACCTTACAGCTCCCCTCTCCCAGCCAACAAGCATTCCCACTCCGTATCTCCAGGGGAAGTCCTGGAGCCTGTATTTGAAAATTCCCCAGAGGAAAATGGATTTGTCACAGCCTGTCTTTGAGAACTACCACCTTAAATTTTTATAATTTAAAACTCAGCAAAATTTGCTGAGACCTTACAGCAACGCTGGGAGGCAAGGTAGATACTATTCTTCATCTGGCAGGAAAGAGATCAAAGCTGAGAGACACTGAAAGACTTGCCTAAAGTTAGAGTGCTAATAAGGACAGGCTTGGGTCTGCAATCCACTTTCTCTGGTTCTTGTTTCAATGTCTCACACAATCACCATAAGCCTCCATCACAAACTTGCAGTGCTGCCTTCGGACAGAGAGTACATGATCACCCTCAAGTAATACAAGGACAAAAGTCCAGTATCCTGATTTCTTGCCTGTCTTCATGGAACAGCAATGAGAAACAGTAGCTTTTGCTTCCAGAAACCTATCCCCTAGTATTCTACTACTTAATTTATATGGAAACTAAGGAAATGAGACCAAAAAGGCACAGTCCAAAAAGGGTAACTAATGTCTAATAGAAACTGGACACATCTGGAAAGATACTTAAGAACCACTGATAGAACTGGGATTAGAAAATGTCAGAGTTCAAAAAGGAGCTAAAGGGCCGGGGATTAGCTCAGTGGTTCTGCCGCCTGCCTTGCAAACGCAATGACCTGAGTTCAATACAAGGTACCAAAACAAACAAACAAAACAAAAAAGAGCTAAAAAAAAATTGTGAAAGAGGCCTGAACAGTCCATAGTTACAAAGAAATTGAGTGCTCTCAAGCACCCCTTGAGCGCTCACCCTCGTCCATATCAATTGGATCAGGCCGTGCTGGCTTTGTCTCTGGATTTGGATCTATTTCTCCAGGTTTAAGTTTTCGTGGATCATCTGTGGTTTCCTCTTCATTGTCTCTTTGGGCAGTTCTGTCACTATAAAAAAGCCCAGATGAGTTAATCTCAGTATCCTACCATTTATTATCAGAATTACCAAGTTCCTTAGATGTGGCCATTTTTTTCCTCAAAATCCAAGAGATGAGTATTAACAAAATAGCTGAAGGCCAGCATTAAAAGGTTTTTGTTTGTTTTGGTTTTTTTAAGAGTAGGAAGAATTCATTTGAGAGAAATATAGCTTCCGTCTAAGAGAGACAAAAGGGGAACTGGAAAACGGGTTACCCACTGACCTTGCTTTTCAAAGGTGTTTTATAGAACAAAGCCATGAAGTGAGGCAGGTTCAAGGCGGGACAAAACTATAGTCAACTAGTATCATTATAAATACAGTTGCTTAGGTAATATTGATCCAATGAGAAATCACAAGGTGGACAAAACTATGAACAACCAATAAGATTATGACAAGTACAGTCTCTTAGGTAATATTGATTAATGGGGACCCAATGGGGAAGCAAGCCACATAGCAAGCGTGCAAGAATTTTCAGTAAGGGTTGGTCAGTATCTTACCTGGAAAGAGTGGGTTAAGACTTTGGCCCCACCCAGATGACTAACACCTATTTAGACTATCGATCACCACTATTTCTCTTCTTTTACAGTGCTGGCTTCAGTGAATGTGTCTTGACTATCCTCCATGTTGGCTCCTCGTGGGCTGGCCCTGCCTAATTGCCTATAAGATATCTAATCAACTTACATATCTACAATACTCCCCCCTCCTTTGTAGCACCCCTAACTGCAAAGGACAAAGGAGCAAAGGGCAAAGACTGCTCTGGCTAAAGAGGATTATAGTTGTGATCTGCAGTCAGAGTATAATTAAAAGTTTAAAGACAGGAAATGCTAAATGTTTGTTCACTGTCATTAATGTGTACTTCTGTGAAAACCTGCTTTAGAAGAATCACTTACAGGAGAAACTCATAGTGCTCCAAGCACTGGGCTGCTGTTCTTCCGATGATTGGACAGATGGTCCGCCACTGAGTTGGCATCAATTTAGCCATGTGTAAGAGTTTTTCCTCCTCTTCTCTGGACCATTCTGTCTTTTTAATGCTTGGATCCAGCCACTCATACCTATCAAAAGATACAATTTAAGGCACTCATCAGTCACCTAGGATATCCAGCTTACACACACTCAGATCTCTACTGACAAGCACAGCTCTCATTCTTTAATGTCCTTTTTGACGGTAGAATATTCACTGTGTGGTAAAACTTCTGCCACGCAATATTTTCCATCTCTCTACATGCCAAGAATTTCTATTATGCAAGATTAGCAATGCTTAAAAAGGTAACTTGCCTGAAGTATGATCATAGGTCTTCTCGATTATTGTTTGTTTTTATTTATTTTACACTTTACTAGAGGCTTTGAAATGCCCTAGAAAAAGACAATGCCACCTCCTTTTTCATTTCTAGTTTTCAGAGTACTGTACTTTCTCTTGCTCTGATCCTCACACCACTTTGGTTTACTTCTTTAAACATCAGACTCACACTCACTAAATGCTTTTCGTCATTAAGTCTTCATTTGGTATGTTTTTCAATTTAAATAAAACTGTGGCATTCTGTCTTTCTTAATGTGAACCCAACCTACCTTTCCATCCAGTACTTACCTGGATGAGAGGCTAGCAAACAGCCCTTATAACCACGGGGTAGAAGCTTTGCATCAGAGAAACAGAAATCAGAACTGCTTCTTCAGGCTGAGAACCATCTTTCTCTTTAGAGTCCATTCTCTGTATGGAGCCTTCCCCTATCTAGACACCTAAGAAACGAGGTCACTCCTGTACAATCCAAAGTATGTTCCTAGCAGATGTATTTGGGCTGAGGCCAGACCACTCATGTCAAGAAGACTTGTAAACAGTTTTGTGTGTCCACTACCCTGTGATTTAAAAGGAGACCCCATCGGTATAGTGTTGTTTTACGCTGTTTTGTGCTAGCAAATACACACTATTTCAAATTTATGAGGAATTTCAATATTGTAAGCATGTCTAAACATTAAACCACTATTTCAGAACTTGAAGTTCTAACATAACAAATTTATAAACTTTTGGAACACAAACTATTTATAAGCTGGGGTCCATCTGTCCCTGAAAGAGACCCCATCGGTATAGTGTTGTTTTACGCTGTTTTGTGCTAGCAAATACACACTATTTCAAATTTATGAGGAATTTCAATATTGTAAGCATGTCTAAACATTAAACCACTATTTCAGAACTTGAAGTTCTAACATAACAAATTTATAAACTTTTGGAACACAAACTATTTATAAGCTGGGGTCCATCTGTCCCTGAAAGAGGTTGTGTTCCACAAAGCATACATCAACTCATTCAGATGGTGCCTCTCACCTCCAACAGCACAAAGCAATATTGTTGCTAATTGGGAAAACAGGGATAGGGTAAAAGGACTGAAAAATGGCTCACCAGAAATCACACAGGAAGCAAGTGACAGCTGAGTCTAAATCCCTTCTCCCACTGCCTACTTCCCATTATATCATGATGCCTGCTTTCTTCAAGAGGATTTAAAGTCCTGACGTTTCCCTCATCATCATCAAGGTTGCTTCTGTTTTCCATTTATTTACTGGTACATACCATCTGGCTTTGCACTGCTTTGCTGATTTCCTATGCAGCAGAGAGGCGATCCTAGACCACTGGTTTTTCCCATATTTCATTACCGCTGCTTTCAGAATTTCATCCTAAATGAATTATTAAAGAAAGAGTATAGTCAATCACAAAATTCCAACTGAGAAAAGATAAAATTTAACTGATAGGGTTGGTGTACAGATAAACATACACACAGGTGTTAAAAAATAGTACAGAAACTTCATCGACTATCATGATAAACAGCAAGAATCAGCAAAATGCAAAAAAAAAAAAAAAAAAAAAACCACCTAAGAAATGCCTTAGAGGCCTATCTTATCCTCCCTTACACATGCATCCTTCAATAAAATGGAAGTGGAAACAGCCCAACTGAGAAATACTACTTCATGACAGAGATTAACAAAAAATATTCTCTAATATGTACCTATGATTCTCTTCAAAAAGGTACAGCTCATTCATTTATATAGTCAATTCAAAACATACTTCCTGAACACATACCTTGAATCAGGTCTTGTGTAATTAAAGAAAAACAATCGACTGCAACACATGGAGGCCTCAAGAAGCAATCCGGAACTCTGGTTGTGCAGGGCATTTCTTCTGAAGGCTCTTAAACTACCCCACCCCCGGCCCACGACCCAAGAATCCACACCTCAGGTCTAAGCTAAAAATTAAGTATCTCTTCCCCATCCCACCAGGCATCTCCCTCAATCTCCCCCCAGCACCTAAACACTATTTCACCAGGGTACCCTAACAAGGTGAAATGCACCAACCCCAAGACCAACTGACAAGCTAAGTCACATGCAACAGGGAGGATGAAGCCATAGATAAATGCACTTGGGCACTTGAGTTCCAGGCTTTTTTCACACGAGACTTGTTCTACCTGCCTTTAGTTGCGCCTCTCCACTCTACCCTGCTCCCACTATCAGAAATATAAACAGGTAAGTAAATAAATAAAGGCAGGGCTTTGACAAGTGCACAGGAATCCTCCTGTTACTTGATCTGTATATCTGTCTTTCCATAGGATGTTATCTCTCCTCCAGATGCGACAGCCTGGCTCTCTCACAGCAGGATGAGGCAGTTTTCAGGGCCTTAACTGCAACTTTGTTAAGTACCGGTACCACTCTACTTCAACACATCTGCAGCCAGGTACACACAGCCAGTATCCGCCCTACTAAATTCATCCCCAAACATCTGCCAAGCAACCTACTTCAAGTCAGTTACCATTCTAGGCTCTATGAGTACAAGACTTGGTCCTCTTGCAGTGCTGTCTGATAGGAAATAGAGCAAGCAGCACTCACTGAGAGTCTACTTGTGTGTCCAACCAACTCTGTTCCAAACATACTAACTCATGTACTCCCTCAAAAGAGGTCGGTATTGGGCCGGGGATTTGGCTCAATGGCAACACGCCTGTCTTGCAAGTGCAAGGTCCTGAGCGATCCC